ATGTGAACCCTTTGGAATTATATGGATTTCTGCACAAATTGGTCATAAAATGTGATCCGATCATCATCTAAGTCACAACAATAGACAATCACAGTCTGCTTAAACTAATAACACGCAAATAATGAAATGTTGCCATGTTTTTATTGAACACACCATGTAAACATTCACAGTGCAGGTGGAAAAAGTATGTGAACCCTTGGATTTAATAACTGGTTGAACTTCCTTTGGCAGCAATAACTTCAACCAAACGTTTCCTGTAGTTGCAGATCACGCGTGCACAACGGTCAGGAGTAATTCTTGACCATTCCTCTTTACAGAACTGTTTCAGTTCAGCAATATTCTTGGGATGTCTGGTGTGAATCACTTTCTTAAAGTCATGCCACAGCATCTCAATCAGGTTTAAGGACTCTGACTGGGCCACTTCAGAAGGCATATTTTCTTCTGTTTAAGCCATTCTGTTGTTGATTTACTTCTATGCTTTGGGTCATTGTCCTGTTGCAACACCATCTTCTGTTGAGCTTCAGCTGGTAGACAGATGGCCTTAAGTTCTCCTGCAAAATGTCTTGATAAACTTGGGAATTCATTTTTCCTTCGATGATAGCAATCTGTCCAGGCCCTGATGCAGCAAAGCAGCCCCAAACCATGATGCCTCCACCACCATACTTCACAGTTGGGATGAGGTTTTGATGTTGGTGTGCTGTGCCTTTTCTTCCAAACAACTCAACTTTGGTTTCATCAGTCCACATAATATTTTGCCAGTACTGCTGTGGAACATCCAGGTGCTCTTGTGCAAACTGTAAATGTGCAGCAATGTTTTGTTTGGACAGCAGTGGCTTCCTCTGTGGTATCCTCCCATGAAATCCATTCTTGTTTAGTGTTTTACGTATTGTAGATTCGTTAACAGGGATGTTGGCATTTGCCAGTGACTTTTGTAAGTCTTTAACTGACACTCTAGGATTCTTCTTCACCTTGAGCAGTCTGCGCTGTGCTCTTGCAGTCATCTTTACAGGACAGGAGAGCTCTTTTGTGCAAGGCATCATTCACATCAGGCAATGCTTCTTGTGAAAAGCAAACCCAGAACTGGTGTGTGTTTTTTATAGGGCAGGGCAGCTGTAACCAACACCTCCAATCTCATCTCATTGATTGGACTCCAGTTGGCTGACATCTCACTCCAATTAGCTCTTGGAGATGTCATTAGTCTAGGGGTTCACATACTTTTTCCACCTGCACTGTGAATGTTTACATGGTGTGTTCAATAAAAACATGGCAACATTTCATTCTTTGTGTGTTATTAGTTTAAGCAGACTGTGATTGTCTATTGTTGTGACTTAGATGATGATCA